CTGATCCAGGGATGCTTCCGCTTTTGGTTAATTAGTTCTTGATGATCCAACATGAACGATCTTATGACGGTAAACATTATGGTTTTATTTACTACATATTCCTCTTGGGAAAATTCTATTTGTACCTAATTTTTTACCTAATGATTTACCGAATTGACAAGTAGCGGCTCCCTTGAATTCATTAGCACTCAATAGTAATTTTGCTAATAGTCCCTAGAGTTTGCGCATAGTTTGAAGTTGGAATTTTTTAAAATTCATATTTGATCAGTAATTATTTTATAAGAGTAATACTATATATATAAACTGGGGATTATTCTCAATATGAGCTGACATTAATAGAGCGTTTGATTGTAATTTTTTTTTAATAGAAATATTTTTCAATTTTTGAAAATATGTTTAATTTTTCTTATTTTTGAAGAAAAAACTTTCTTTGGGGAAGGTAGATTTTTATTTTCTTCAAAATGAGGAAAAAAAATTCTTTTCTAAGAAACATTTTCAATGCCAATCAAACACACCCTAAATGATGAAGTCAATAAAATGAATCATATTTACATGTTTATTATTTTACCCCACATCACAAGTGAATAATCTTCTATTTGTAAATATAGCACAAGTCATTTTATAATAATTTTTGATCAAATACATTTTTTATAACACATCTTATATTACTCACAAACAACCAGTATTCTAAAAAGTCGTACCTATGTGCGAAGTTTGTGCAAAACGCTTCGCCTCACACTTTTTCGCCTTTTTATTATTTTCTTGCGCATTTTTTTTTTGGCTAGGCGCTTATTTTTATTTTTTTTCAATATAGTATTTTATAATTTTATATGTTTGGTAGGTATTATTTCAATTATTAAATAAATTTTAGGTTTATTAAAAATTAAAAATAATATTAAGATAAAAAAAAGTTTTTTTTTTACATATAGTCCTCGCCTAGCCCGAAGTTTGGATTTCACGCTTAGCTACGATTTACACCTTTTAAAACATTGCTCACAACTACATTCATTTATTATCAACACATTTCATATAACTCACAATGGCTATTCACCAGTATTCTAAAAGGCAAGCCTTGCTTGCCTATGAGTAAATTGTTTGAACACTCACTGAACTTTAATATGGTCACGACTTACTCGTTGAACTTCAAATTGTCTCTAAATGGTCACTGAACTCGATTCCAATTGCCCACTCCACTGCCCTCTGAGTTTTGGATGTGGAGCAATTAATGAAAGTTCAGTGACCATTTAGAGACAATTTGAAGTTCAGTGAGTAAGTCGTGACCATGTTAAAGTTCAGTGACTGTTCAAACAATTTACTCCTCGCCCATGCTCTTTTAAGTTTGAAAATTTGTCATCCAAACCTAGTCACAATTTACGTTTCTTAGAAGATTAATATTCATTTATTATTTATCCATTCCATATAACTCACACAACTATTGGATGAAGCTTGGTGCACACACAAATAAGGGTGGAGTGAGTATTTTTGGGATGGTTTTTTAATGAGGTCGGTCCGCATGAGACCTGCCTCATGTGAGTGCAGTGCAGCATAATTCATCTATGAAATATAAGACCTATTAAAGCAGGTTGTCATACCACACGCACATAGACCGTCCAATTGAAATTATTATCCGACAACAAAAAGCAACACAGATTTTCCTTTTCTTTTAAGATAAACCTCTCCCAGACATGTACATATCAATTGCCTAGTCAGTTACTTGTGTTTATTTTTTCAAAATTATCAATTTAAAATTAAAAAAAAAAAAGTCAATGACTGATATCAGAAAAAAAGTGAATTGCCTAAATAGTTCAAGGATAGGTTGCTTGTGACGTTACGTCAACTTTGAGGTTACGCGTCCTCTTCCTACCTCTGGTGCATTGTTCATTGAACCGAAAAACTAACTTTATCAATTATAAAATTCTATATGTTCCTTCCTCGAAAAAAGAAAAAACCAACCAATTTTCATAGATGTTTGAGAAAAGAATGATGAATCTTGTAACCAAACCTTGCGTATCTTTACATGTATACTAAGTAACAAAATTTGAAGGCCAAAAAACCGACAAGTTGGTGTCACCGGGGAGCCAAAGAGACTGTTAAATCCGTAACCACGCCCATTTTCTCCCCCCATTTCTGTGATTCCAAAAACATTCGTGAAATTCGACCAGTCACCCGCCCCATATCAGGCCGGCTATCAGGATCATCGACAACACAATCCAGTGCCAACACTGCCAATTTCTCCACCACCTCCACCGGGAAAGAGTCCTTCAACCTCCTGTCGACCCACTTCCTTATCCCTCCACCACCACCCTCCAAGGCCACTCTAGCTGCTTCCACCACCGATACCCTCACATACGCTCCAGTTTCCTCATCAACCCTATACCTCAATGCCTCCATCCCGGACAATAACTCCAGAACCACAACCCCAAATGCATACACATCACATTTTTGCGTTGCAATCCCACTTCTCTGAAATTCTGGCGCCATGTAACCTCTAGTTCCCTCAAACTTGTTTATCTTACTATCCGATCTCTTAGGCTCTTTCGACTTCCCGGTCTCCCTTGCAATTTCACCACAGAGCTCAGCAGTACCAAAATGGCAAATTTTCGCATTTAATTTTGTCTTGGTAACTATAATACTACTACTCTTTATATAATTATGCACAAATTCAAATCCCAATCCAGTATAATTATGAACATAATCAAGACCATGAGCAATATCAGAAGCAATCTGAATACGCGAAATCCAGCTAGACAACACAGTAAAATTCGGGTTTTTCGCATTTCTCAAACAGTCAGCAAGACTAGCCCCAGAAACATAATCATAAACTAAGTATATATAATTACCAGAAATTGAAGCCCCCTTCAATTTCACCAAACTGGAGTGATGACTCCTGCAAATCACAGAAAGATGATCAATTAACTGCGAGGTGTCCAATTGGCGCCGGAACTTCCGCTGGAAAACTATTACATCCTGATTCTGCACACTGCACCGCCAAGAAGTGGACGAGGAGGAGGAAGTGTACGGCTTGAGCAAGAAATTGCGGGTTGAGGCGGAAATTTCTGAAATATCATAGATATGGGGCTGCTCAGGGAGGATGGATTCCCGGAGGCTTGAAAGAGAAGTACGGCTCGATAAGGAGTATTTCCATGAGTCTTTATAGAAGCTTGAGGTGGAGGCTGTGCTTGGGATCATGAAATTGTTGGTGCTGGTCGACAAGTTTTCTATTGATGATTGTTGGGATTTCTTGGATTTTCTTGATGATTTTGGGGTGGTTGAGTGTTCAATCACATCTGCAATCATTTTCTTCTTGGATTTACACATGGAGAACATCAACCAGAAAATAGAAAGAAAAAAATGAAATGAGGGGTTGTTTTGCAAGTGTGGAAGTGGAGAGGAGAGATGGAAGCATATACAGGGTGGCGGGCGATAGTTCTAGGTGGTGGGATGGATTAGTTTGGCCCAATCTATGGTTTTTTGTCAGCGGATTATGGAAGAAGAGGAGATCTCAAGGCATTTGGATATATTTCTCTTTCGACTAGTTTGGTTTGACGAGCTTCACCGTCTTTTACTTTCCCGCTTAAGAAAATTACTTATTTTAACAATAAAAATTACTTATAATAAGTTTTTGAATAGTTAATTATTGAAGAATACGTGGTTAAAAAGTAGAAAAATATTTTTGGATCTACGTGAAGAATATTTTATCATGAGAATGTATAGTTGAAAATGAGTATGAGAGGAAAAATTTTGAAAGAATAATTACCGGGCTAAGTAACTTTTTTTAGTGCCAATATGCTTACATTAATTAAAAGCGGCTTCCATAATGAAATTGAATTTTAACAAATTAAACCCCTGTGATTTGTCGAGATCTATGTTTTTACTTGGTAAAAGGAAAAAGATATTTAAATCAAGGTTGGTTTTTAATTTATAACTATCAATTATTATAGGCTTATAAGCATGTATAAGTATATTAATGGGAGAAATGGACTATAAAATTCCTATGATATTTATGAAAATAATAAAACATTGAAATGGCATTCAACAATTTTATTGCAGAGTCCTAAGAATATGGATAATTCTTGTTGTACATTTTTGTATACAACAAGTTTGATACTTCCTTCACGTGGGAGGTGGGGCCTGTGATTTTTAAAATCGCGGGCCCACTCCCCATGTGTGGGGAGTGTCGAACTAGATGTACACAAAAGTGTACATCTAGCATTGCTCTAAGAATAATGTTAGATGTACATTCCAAGACTCCAAATGTACACCCTTTTTGACATTTTGATGTGGTATGAAAAGATAAAAACCTTGCTACAGGTAAACGCCCGTGTACCCGACCCCACACCCCCCTCTCACAATGAGGGGGGCCCGCCATTATTTAATTCACCTCGGGGCCCCCCTCATTGTGAGAGGGGCCGTGGGCCCGTGTACCCGGGCATGTAAATGCCTAGGTACAAATAGCTTAATTCGAAAAGATAATTGGTGGGAAAATTGTTTATTTTTTTAAACTGTCAAATGATGTGTTGCCACGTGACATAATATAAAAGATGATGTAGAAGATAATAAACATATAGCATGATTGTTAAATTAAAAGCATGGCGAAAATTAAGCAAACATTGACCAAATCGAGTTTAGAAGATGATTTTACATTATAAGATTAAGGGTAGAATGCATTATTCATTCCTAACCCTTGTATATCTATTCCAAAATAATTGTTTTATTTTTGTCCTTGACTTTTGAAAATTTTAAAAACTTAGCTCTTGTTGACTGTTTTAATACAAAAATCTGTTAAATTTATCTAGATGACCATGTCATCATTTAACTTAAATAAATAAATAATAATAAAAAACAATCACAAAATAGAAGCAGCAAAATAAAAAATGAGCAGGTTTTTAAAAGAGTTAAAAACCTGCTTTATTTTCTTTTTGTTTATTTTATTTGTGTTAAAAGAGTTAGATAATCATTTTACAAAAAATTAACAGGTTTTTACATGGAAGCTGTCTGTAGGGAAATCTGCTAACTTCGTAAAATTTGGGGACAAAATCGGACAAAAAGGGTGGAAGGTAGGTCTTGTACAAATAGTGCAATTTACAGTAAGATTTTGGTTGAAAAATTGTGGGTCCCATTAAATATGTGGTTAAAATTCATTGTTGATTTTAAGTTAGATTAACGTTGGAATTTTTATTTTTACCAAACTGTAGCTAAATATTGCTATGGAAATGTGGATAAAATAAATATATTGCCTTTATTAATGTTTTTGATGTTTAACTGTTTAAGGTTACTTCAAACAGTTATATTGAAAGAGTGACGTGGTTTATTATAAGGAAGATATGGATTTACAAAATGTAGATAGGTAACAGGAACTTTCTTAGACTCGGGGAGGTAGGAGATTTCGTAAAGAGACTCTAGTTTAGACGTATTTGGTTTTCAAAGAGAGGTTGAAGGAGTTAAAAATATGAATTTTCATCGGACATGATAAAATAAGTGCTTTTTTCCAATTTTTATCAAACTGGATAACCAATAATAGAGATAGTGAGACCAAGATAACAACGGCTCTGATACCAATAATAGCAGGGGGGGATGACGACCAAGGATTTTTTGGAATGCAATCTATAAACTCAAAACTCGACAGTAAAATACAAGAACTTATTGAAATGAGATAGGCTAGATGTACGGAAAGAAGGCCACATAATTTCACCAAAATACACACATTTGTGGATTCCTCGCAATTTTTTTTAAAAAAATATGTGGTGGGTCCCACGCATTTGTGTGTATTCTGGCCAAATTCTAGTGGACTTCTTTATGTACATGGGGGAAAAACCTATTGAAATTATCAGAATATCATAATCTCCAATAATGTAGTGGATATGTTTTTTTTTGGAGATTTCAGTGGGATTAATTGAGAGTAAATAGAAGAAGCATGTTCATCTAATCGGGCTCCAGTGGGGGCATAGATAAAAATACAAGTAAAATAGAAGAAGCATGTTCATCATTACCATGGTCGCCTTTTTTGAATATTTTGCAAAACTTTCTTTGTAAACGATCATCCGTTCAACCCTTACCAAACCAGTTGGTTAGTTATATAACCTTTACCAATTGTTTTTTAATTTTTAAGTAAAGCAATTACAGAGAAAATATTATGTTACGTGACTTTCTCGATCCGGCTTTACCATGGCTTACATTATGATACACAATTGAAAAACACGAATTGCCTCATGTTCATGAATACGCCAAATAGGAACATCATAAATGTCGGTTGGACAACTTGATCTGACTCAACTTGACTCGAATAGATGAACATCGATCTATATAGCAGTGTAATCATTATCACGTTATTCACTATCTAAAAATAAATAAATAAATTTATTGAATAATGTGAAAGTAATTACATTGGCATATAAATCAACTATCGTCTAAACTCCATATGAATAAAATTACTCTTAGATCAATACAACACTTTTATGTGACAGTACAAACTGTCAAGAAAACCAAAACCAGCTCTCAAATCTCAAAGCAATTTTTGCCACAATTCCTCTTCACCACCTCCAAAGGGTCATCGCTCTACACTTCTTCAATTTCCAAAGCCGAGGGCCCTATACCCCTAACAACCCAACCACCTGTCTTTTTCCTTAGTTCCCTAAACTACCCCTACTATCCTCCCATGGCACTATCCTATACTTAACCACCTTCTTTCATTCCCAAGACAACCCCTTATAGGACTACTACTGTCTTTTCACATTCATTTTTCACCCACACCAGGACCAACACCAGGCCTCCCTCAGCCGCTTCCTCCATGTTTTCAGCACCAAAAACTATAAGCATGCATCTCTATATATATCTGCGAGTGTCTGTGTTTCTTGTTTGACTCTTCGTTTATCTTCTTATATGCATAACTTGCACGTATATATATGTATGTTCCATTGGCTGATTTCTAGAGTGATTTTATAATTCTTTTTCTCTATATAAGGGTTCAAAAACCGTGCAAAACTACTAAACCTGCAGCCCTCTTTCTGTCTAAAATGGAGAGCGATAATCTTGGCAATTGTCCAGCAGGGTCCAGATGGAATCCCACAAAGGAGCAAATGAACATACTAGAGGGCTTGTACATGCAGGGTTTAAGGACTCCAAGTGCAGAACAAATTCAGCAGATTACAAATAGACTGAGGGCTTTTGGCCACATTGAGGGCAAAAATGTTTTTTATTGGTTTCAGAATCACAAGGCAAGGCAAAGACAGAAGCAGAAGCAGGAGAATATATCTTCTTTTAATCGGTTTCTCCATAAAAATCCAGTTTTTCCTCCATGCTATAGTGGTAAATCATGTAGTTTAACTCCCACCAGTTTATGCATTTAATGGATCCATACATATCTTGATTATCATGATATATTTTTCTTTCTTTAATGCATTAAGAACCCGTCCATTGCGTCGTACTAGATATCACGGTACACGACAACTTCTTCTTCATTTTTTTAATTTTGTGCAGTGCTGTCCAATATAATGCACTGAACATGCCCCAATATGCAGTAATGATCTGTTGCTGTTGTTACATTCTTATCACGACATTTTTTAGTTTTTCCTCATGTGACACATTGTGTATATTTGATTCTTATAAACAGTATTATTTGTTTGTTTTGGTGTTTCCAGTTGTTTGCAGCCCCTGCTACATACAACCACCACCTCAGGCTGATATAGGGTTGTACCAACATTACTCAAAGTTGCCCCTACATGGAGGTTTTAAAAGGAGACTAATCCCAGAAAACGACGACAGAAACAAGCACATTGCATGTCCGGAGTACAACAGAATTGTGCATCCAAGAATTATAAACCAGGAGTTAGAGTTCATGTCTTGTGAAGAGGACAGCACTCAACAAACACTGGATTTATTTCCCATTCACCCAACAGGTGTTTTACAAGCAAAAACAGGGATTTCTACAAATGAAGAGAATTCCTCCCCTAGAACTTCGAGTTCCTCTGAAAAAGACCGTATTTTGGGTAATCAGGGAGGAAATTGTGGCCAGAATTTTTTTGACTTTTTCCGTGGAAATGGCCCTCATGGAAGGCACTGAATTCCAAGATTTCACCAGTACTGACATTAATCTGTTATCTGGGGTGAATTGATTCTTATTGAAGACTGATTAGAGTTTAACTTTTGCTGTTTTTGGGCTTGATAATTGAGACTTAAAATTCAAAAAGGGTTACTTTATTACCTTGGACAGAAGCCTTCTGGATTTTGCTTGTCCACTCTCCCTATTGTAATATTGTTAAAAGTTTCCATTTCTTATGTTTTTTCTTATAGTGACTAATATATTTGACATGTTTGGTGCATTGAATAAAGCAAAGATTCAACGGAATGTTGGGATGGGTGTACCAATATTAGTAAGATTGTGTAACACAAGGTCTCTTTGTCCTCAAATGAAATATTCTCAATGCTTTTTAAATGGCAGCATAGTGTAAAGTGAGTTCGAGTCGAGCCCAATGTCCCTACTGGTTGATTCAAGTGCGGTTAAGTTACTGGGGCTCAAGTGGAATAGTTATGCACTATAGACATTTCTTTTGCCAATGTATGGTAACAAAACATGCTACATGTATAGGGAGATTGTCCATGCAGCATTGCAGGAAGACAAATGGCATTGATTCATTGGATTTGGGAAAAAAAGGGTTTTGTCCTTGCCAATCCTTTTTTGCCACCTGTCTCTCCCCCCGTACAATCTTCCTATACGAGGAGATTAATCCTCCCATAGACATTTCTTTCGCATGTAGCTTCAGAGGCATGTACCCCTTCAAGTAAACAGGGCAGCATACGAACAAATTATTTATAGGAAAATATTTCTATATGAAAATCAACTGTTTACAAACTTAATAATTGTTTAAGAGAATTGACTAAAGATGATTCTAGACTAATCTTTTCTAAAGACACTGCAAATCCTTTGAAATCCAAGCAACATTGAAGACATTCATACTATTTAGCCCACTTAAGCATGTTTGTCCCCATTTTTTTTTT